CTCTCTCTCTCTCTCTCTCTCTCTCTTCCACTCTGGCGGTTGTTCGCGGTTTGCATGCGTTATTAAAAATCTCGTTACAAAATACACACAGCGGAGGAGGGTTTTTGCGAGTTAATTACCGGTCAATATCGTCGCGCGATACGTGTGGGTATTACACGAGGTGGATAGAAAGAGGAGCAAAAGAGAAAGGAGAGAGAGAGAGAAGAAACAAGGGAGGAACATCGATGGTTGGCAGGCTCTGGTGAGGAAACTTCATCAGCTGCGATATTATGCATGCTGCGGAAGTCATGCTTGATGAAGTATGGTGATTAAGCGGTGTACAATAACAGATTGGAAGCACAAGGGCGTAACGTAATATATTAAGAAGCCGTTCTTTCTGTTGTTGGTAGCCGCGGGTTTGTCTTAACGTGTGAAAGCACCATCTGTCAGAGAAAAATGTGTCCATCTGCTGGCGCGGAAGCGAGAGAGCGAGCGGTTCGGCTATTTGCTATGAAAACGTGCGCGCTCATTGTCCCACACCGATACACTGTTATTCAACCGGGCGAATTAGACCGTGATTAAGAGAAATTACCGAGTTACAACAAAAAGAAAAAAAAAAGAAAAAACGCGTGACGATTAATGCTCTCTGGGGATGTCGCTGGACAAAAATTTCCACACGAAATTATAGACGTTAGGCGATAGAGGAACATCAATTACCAGGAGGAAACGAGATTTTGACAAATACGTAATCGCCCCGAGCTACGTTCCCGATTTGCACGATCAATTACTTCAACCGTGTGTTTTCGACGTTGCAAGCCTCTAATAAACATTTCCTTTCGACAAGAACTGACTCGCGATAGAGGAGTGGACGCGAGATACGCGAGAGAAAGCTCGACGCAAGCCCATCGGATTTATTAATTATCCAGTCGGGCGAAGGAATCTCGGTTAAGACGTTCCGTGCAAGTGAAACCACGATGCGATCCAAGGGTAATTACACAGAGACAATGCGAGAAATTCTTCAATATCATCGAGTTCGCGTTACGTAACTTTTACGAGGAATAGAGGAAGACCGGTTGATAGACAAAGTGGTTTGTCTCCTCTTGCAGGCGGAATAGTCGGCCTCGCTGGGACGAGAAGAGACCATCAGAGTTCCTAACGATCCTTCGCATCAAGAGATTGCTCGAATGGCGCGATCGATCGCGCGCGCGACCGGGTACTCTTCTCTTAATGCGATTCCCGCGGGAGTCTTGATTGCGTAACAGTTTCGAGTGCGTAATAACGTTCCAACTGTCGGCTGGTTCCCGTTAATTACTCCCTGTAATCCTCGTTGCAGCGTCTGGCCTCGGAGGTGGTGTTCATAGACGCGGACGAGGAATTGGCGAAAGCAGAGGCGGAAGACATCAGCCACGCGGCGGCGTTCCTCGGCGATCCGAAGATTCTCGGCACCAAAGGTGAAAATAAATTTCATCTTCCCTGCCGTTTTTGCCCGGCACAGATTGTTAATAAAGGGAATCGCGATGATATATCAACCGTGAGACCATCGCAGACTACTCCATGGCTAGAGAGGCGACGGTGTGCGTGATCACCGTGGGGGATAAAGCAACGAGCGAGGACGACGGCTCTCTGTTGGATAATAATTTGACTATTTTTAAGGACGTTATCCCGAAGGTCTGCAAATACGCGCCAAACAGCATACTTTTGATCGTGACGGCACCAGGTACGAGCAG